ATATAAGATGACTGTTCATTTGACGGCAATTCCCTTCTGCATCGTCCCACGAATAAAGTTGCCAATGGAAACCATCTTGTAAAGTGAAATTCTGGAGAGAATTTTTTATTAGATGAAGAAGATGAAAATATCAAGAATATCAAGAATATCAAGAAGATCAAGAATATCAAGAAGATCAAGAATATCAAGAATATCAAGAATATCAAGAATTAGTACTCCACCTAATAGAAAGTTTATATCGGTTTATATCGGTTAAAACTCACATGTAAATAGTAACAGCTGTCAGTTTATCAAAATAAACCCATCCCGGATCGCATTCGGCCTCTAGAATTTCTTTAGAAATCTATTTTTCATATAAGCAAACGATTTCCATCAATTTGACAATAGAATGGTCTCGCAATTGAGCATTCAGCTGCTCTCCATTGAGCCGTTTGAGAGTCAATGATTGCGCGGATTGTCGCATTGATCGTGCTCGTTGGTTGCCCTAAAAATATATAATATTTGTGGTGAATGTTTGAAATCCATTTTTCCCATCCTTACTCAAACAGCTCAAACCTGGAGCCCAATTTGTGTAAGTAGGCCGTGCTCCGTCCGAATAAACCCACGTTCCGTTCCGGTAACTTTTCAACGCCAATGTATGCGGCAGCTTCGTTAAAATCTATGAAAAATTTGAAATTTCAAAGACATTTTCTTTTGTACATTCTCCCAGTAATCCGAGAAAAGTATCAAATTCTCGAAAATGTTCTCGATTTTCACCACATCACCACCAAGTTTATTGCACTCTCGAACAACTCATGGGATAATATTGAGCTATAAATTTGGATTTGCTTTATAGAGTATCCAAATTTACAGTTATTTTGTGCATAAACGCATTTGTGTTCATTTAGTATTTGAATGTACCCATTTGGACATGAAAACGAGGAAGTTGAATAGAAAAAGCTAACAAATATGAAAAAATTGAGAGCTCTCATTGCGAGGGTTTTCCGAGCAAATGAAGCTTTTATCAACATTTTCTTTGAGAACAAAGGAATTTCTCTTTGCTTTGTGGATGGCACAAAAGAAAAATTCAGCTATGAATTTGTACGCAGGGGATTTTCGGGATCCGGGAATCGATTGGAGCTAGTCCTTTTTATTGCTTTTGGAGCCGGTAAAAGCAAGTTCGATAGTCAATTTTAAGCTCTTACAATTGCAATGCAATTGGGGTAAACTGTAATTTAGACTTCAAAATAAAACTAAAATCAAAAAATTGATAGCTACCAAAAATACTGTAATTGTAAATGCGCGCTTCTATTTTTCCCTATCCATTTTGGACTCCCAAGAAAAGACACATAAAGAGGACCATATAAAATTCTAAAAAATCTTTTAAATCATCTCTAACTCGATTGAAAATGCTGTAAAATGAACGAAAAACATGTTTAAAACAAGAAAAATTTTTTGCAGCCTTGACCCCTGGAGGAACAGACTGAAAAATGAGACTATTACTAATTTTTAGGTTTTAGATCCTGTTAAAAATTTTACTGCCTAACCCTTTTAGGTTACATACAGATGGCTCATATGCACTTTTCAGTCAAGTCAAGTACACTTCTAAGCACTCTTCAGTCAAACTCTTTTTCAAAAGTAGTAACTTTTGGACCACCAATTTTGTGGGCCCTTCAATTACAATATTTACGGTATGGAGTTTTTCTATACTTGCAATGTCACTGCTAATGCTATCTTCTTAATGTGAGTGACTTCTCGTGAGATCCAAGTAGCACCCTTTGTTCCAATCCGATCTTTTGCATTGCCAAGAGCAAAAGTTTAAAGAAGATTGTTGCCTTTCCTGCATTTTTGAAGCATTGTGGGTCAGTTTCGTTGAATAAAAGCCCTTGAAATCTCTTTTTTTCTAAAAATGACTCAAATTTCGAAATTTCCCATCTGATTATTACCTAATGAGCTTCAAAGTGAAGTCTACAATCTCTTGAATTCAACTCAACAATTATGAAGGTGACCGGAAAATTCAAAGATAAACTCTGAAAAATTGACCCGAAAGAGTGAATAAAATTGACTCTTTGATTAGCGGAACCGGGAAACTGGTTGACGGAAATGGGGAAATTCTTATCATCATTAATTTCTTTCCATCTTGCGCCATTAACGTCGATTTCGATCGTCGAGGGAAATCTCATCAGAGATCACAAAAATCAACAATCACGAAGAGTTTCTCGATCGATTTCACAAGATCTTTTTCAAATTTTTATCCAGAAGTTCAAACTCGTCGTCCTCTCGATTCATTCTTCTCCTGGATCAAGTCTTTCAGCTGATCAAGTCTTGAGAAACGCTTGTCCAGAGTCACAAGTATTCGCAAGCTTTACTTCGACGAGTTGCCAATCGGATTCAAACACATCAGCAGTTTATCTTATGAATCTAATCTCTGAAGTCGATTTTTGGAAAAACTATAAAAGCGCGAGTGCGTGGGTCATTAACGAATAGGGATAAAGTTAAAGCCTTGGATTGGAGACACGCATTCGAACATTTCCCCTCATTCATTTTCTAGCTTTTTCATTCATCTAAACTAATCTTTATCTTAAGTCAAGATCGACGATCATTGCTTCAAAACTCCAATTATTTTATCGATCTCGATTTCGACATCGAATGCAATCTCTTTTTTACGACTAGTTCCTCCAAAATGTACATGAGTCGGCTATACTTAGAGTGCTTTCAAGCACTGGCAAATATACTTGAAAACACGGATGGAGTTCGGCAAATCAACGGATTTTTCTCCGGAATAAAGAATCTTTCGGGGTTTTTCTTGGTGAGCAGTGGAGAAAACCGGAAGCTGAGCGTGATATCGGCCGTTTTTTCAGTGGAGCCGATACAATCGGAAGTGTTTCTCGCAAATGTTTTCTGGGAATCGAGTCCGAGTAATGAACCTAATCGTTTTTCGGGCTTTTCCCGAAAGATTTTTGTATTACAAGTAAAGACTAATCCATCTTCTAAAGAGCACCTTTTTCAAAACTACAGCAATCAAGTTATCATTTTTCATTTATTTAAGCTAATTTTGGTACCATTCGATGAGAAATCACAACACTCAGTCAATGGTATCAAAATCGGACTGAAGAGACTGATTTTCTTGTAAATTTCTTCAGCTCTCACATAGCTTTCTAAACTTAGACGAGAAATGAAAGTGGTTTCTTTGTCGGTTTAGAAGTTGACAAAGTGACGAAAGCCTTTAGTCCAATTTGTTGAGATTCTGAGAAAAATCGGGAATTGTTGTCGAGTAAGACGAGTTTGATCGAATTGGGAATGAATGAAAGTGAGTCAAAAATCCAATTAAAAGTCCTTTTTAATTTCCAAGTGAACACTTGACATTGCTTTTCTATTTCATACTTTTCAATGCTTTTCCAGCATTTCATTTGGATATAGTCCTGGAAAATTGATGAGTTTACGGTAATTAGCTTTGGAATAGCTTTTTCAAAACTGGTGACAGTGAAATTGAATCTAATTATGCTTTCTGTACCATTTTGTATCACAAAAGTTGAAAATTTTACTTCTGTTTTGAATTTTGATTCTCTTAACCCATAAAATTGAACGAAAAATATCTTCTAAGTAACGTTTAACTTTTGTGATAAGAAACTTTTCCCTTTTAAACAACTAGCGTTTGTGCCCATTCGTTTCCACACGATTTTTTTCGTTATTTTCCAAAAAACTGACTGATAAGAGTGATCGATTTTTCGTAAGCCCACTCACAGAGCTTTTGTCTTTCTTTCATGTTTCGTGAATTAAAGCAAAAATTACGCAATCTCTTTCAAAAGCTGTCAAATTCAATTTACTGTCAACAGTTCTATTCATTTGCATTTGTTTATTATCTGAAAGAAATCCGATTGATATTTTTCGAAGAAAACTGTTCAAAGTGATGGAAACGATACAAGATCTGACTCGGTGATATCAATATCAATTCTACTGCCATGTTTCTATCTAACAGCATACTTTTTTCCAAAAGTTTTGGCAATCGGTGGTGAGTTGAACGGTTTTTGAAAAAAAAACGGAGCTTTGCTTTCTAATCTAAACCGTTTCTGAATCGTCTAAAAATGAAAACAACAAATTTTTTAGACTAAACGAGACCGAGAAAACTAAAATTTGAAAAAGAATTACCACATTTTTTGCTTTAAACGAACGTTCTGATAACGAAAAGTAAAAATGTATAATGAACTAAGCAAGAATTCGAATATTGGGTTGGGGAGAATGAGTCGGCGCCGAGAATCAAAAAAATGTGTAAAACTTCTATTCGACTTCGTCAAATAATATGCGTTTGATATGAGTAGAATGGTTAACTAATTCTCTACAAAATCACATTTAAAAGAAAATTCAAACAGCGCCTCCGCTCAAGAAAAAGCCATTTTTTCACAAAAACTACAAACTGTCATCTAGAAAAAACCATTGGTGGGATCTTCCTGCAAATTTGGCAACTTAAGTAATTCAATGTGCTCTATCTTTTTTATATAACCACCAAAGAAGGTTTATGTGAAAGAAACTGTTCAAATGATGAGTCGGACTCTTTGCCATTTTAACCAGCTGCGTTTGGAAGTTCATAAACTCGACGAAAGAAAAGCTTTGTGGAATCTCTCAAAAGTGATTTTGTAGAGAAATAGTGGATCCTTTTGATCAAACCAAACGTATGTTTAAAGAAGGCTTTATGTGTGCAAAAAGTCCCTTTAAAGTTTGGCGCCGACTCATTCTCCCCAACCCAATAGTATTTGATATTCAAGCATTAGAGAAAAGATTGACCAAAATAGAGTCGGAAGCACTTGAAATTAGAAATCAAAGTAAATGCACAAGCAGGCAAAATCCCAAACAAACAACAACGTTAGCAAGTTATAGACGCACGTTTCAGGAATGATTCTTGTCGGAATCTTTTTCCGGAATTCTCCACTACTTGACGAATTTTTCCTGGTCCACTCGGAGACATCGGCTTTTTTTCAAAGCTTGCCTACATTTTGATCATTTTTTCGAGAAGCGGTTTTTCAATGGAAGTCAAGGATTTAGTTAAGATGAGGGTAGGAAAATCTTTGTATAAGCAAAAATTCTTTGTTTTTCAGCTTTCTCTTTTCTCTATAGTCGTTTTGCTTGTGATTGGAGAAATTATGTTAATTTGTTTGTTTTCGGTTTTCATTCTCGATTACAATTGGTTGATTGGATTGGCTTTAGGTGAGTGGGTTTAATTATTATAAACAAAGGAAGAAATAACTTCAATTTCACTCCAGGAAGTCTCTTGAGCGGAGCCTCACCTCTTGTTGTCGACGGATGGACTCAACGAATCACCGATGATGGTGACTGAATCTTAAAATACATACTCAATTTTTTATTCAGTAAACAAGGAGAGCTTTCCGATTCTCTTAAAGATCAATCACACGAAATTCTCAAAACTCTTCGATCGGTTTTGAGTGGGTGGAAGCGTTAGTGAAATGGTATCAATATGCACTTTTATGTAAGTAAATCTTGCACTAAAAAGTTGAAAAAGTTTAAAAATAAGAATCCCAGGACCACGCTTCGGTTTGTTTTCGCAAAAAGAAGACTGTTTCAAGCGGTTTTAATCCCATTGCCATTCGAGATTTTCTTTGCATTCTTGGCTGGACTTTTTGGAGGTAAATACTTGCCTAATTCAAAATTCAAAAAGTTGTAGGCTTTATGATCCGTTACTGCTCCGAACCGCGTCGCTACTTTGACTACTCGAAAACTGAGGATGAAGATCGAATCTCGTTTCTCAAATCCTCGATTCTTTCGACGGTTCCTAATTCTGACTGGATCGTTTTCTTTGATAATCTCTGGAGAAATGATTGGATGTTTGTTTTCGGACCAATTGCCGTTTTCTTTTTTTGGATTGTTTTCAAGGATCACGATGAAGAAAAGAGAAATCATGTGTGAGTTGCTGGGTGTTTCTTGGAATTGTTAAAATTCTGAGGTTGAATCTGGCTAGTTAACTAATATTATTAATTCAGTAAAGTACACTGATAGTGAGCTTGACTCTGAGTCATTTGTGACCCATTGAAACGTTTCATAAAATGAACACTCACACCTTTAGCAAAGACAAATAGAGCCTTTTTGGGGAGGTAGTCAAATGAGCGCCAAAAATTGAGCGCCAATCATTTCAGCGCCAATCATTTCAGCGCCAATCATTTCAGCGCCAATCATTTTAGCGCGCGTTCATTTCAGCGCGCGTTCATTTTCAACGCCGCACCAAAAATGACTGGAAAACATTCATTTCAGCGCCGAATCAGCCCATTCTGTATATGCATGTTATTTTTGCATTTTCTGCATGATCTCAAAGTTTTTACTGTATGTTTTTATTCAACTAGTTAACACGCAATAACAACAACAATTGCAATCGCAATCATCTAAAGATAAAAATAATTCTTGGCAGCAAAATAAACCCAAATAAATCATGAACAAAACGTTACTTTGACTCAAGAGTGTTCCTTTGTCTCGCCGCTTCTTGCGCAGTTCACGAGCCTAAGCAAAGAACTATGTTAACTGTAAGCAAATTGTAAACGAAAACGGCAAGAAACGGTGAAAAAGCATGCTATTGGGGGAAAATATCATACAACTAGCAAATTTACACATTTTCATCAAAAAAACCTTAAATACGAGCTAATCTAACAATTTTTTTTCGCGCATTTGGTGCCTACTGCCGTGCCTAGGTCAAATGAGTGAAAAAGTGTAAAACAGAAGCAAAACCCTAAAAAACATGCAAAAGCAGCGTAAAAGCAAAAATATTAAAATTTAGTCGCGCTGAAATGAACGTTTTCCAGTCATTTTTAGCCCGGCGCTTAAATGAACGTTTTTAGGCCTTTTTAATTTGGCGCTCAAATGATTGTTTTCCAGTCATTTTTGGCACGGCGCTCAAATGAGTGGCGCTGAAATAAGCGTGAGCCAAATCGTTGGCGCTGAAATGATTGGCGCTCAATTTTTGGCGCTCATTTGACTACCTCCCCCTTTTTGATAAAAACATCAATGATACGGTAAAAAGGCTACAAAATAATTTCTGTAAAACTTTCCAGATCTACGCTCGCGTGAAAACTCAACTTTTCCCTTTTGTGTACATTTTCCTCATTACCGCTCCTTTTGGTTTACTTGGATTCCATTTAAATTTTGAAATGGTCAATAAAATGTTTGGGGAACGTAAGTTTAAAATCTCGGTCTATTGGGTTGGTGAATTGAAAACTGCGGGCTATTGTCATATGTGACAGTTTGAGCAGTTTCTTCAAAAGAAACCCATTTTGGTGTCAATGGGAAAGTTGTAGAGAATCAAAAATGAAGCTTATATCCAAATTTCCAGAACGATTCAAAAACTGGTTTTAAAGAAATGCGAAATTTACGAATTTTCACAAAACTTTCATTTTAAGCGAAACTACTAAGTGTATCTTTTTGGAAATTTGGCTATAAGCCTAATTTTTGATTCTCTATAACTTTTCTATTGACACCAAAATGGGTTTCTTTTGAAGAAAGTGCTCAAACTGGGACATCTCCAGTCCTCCATTCTTGAGTCACACTTGTCTCACACACAAGCCAAAATCCTACTAAAAAGAGGAATCCCCAAATTGCCTGTAATATGGGCAGAAGTCGTCAATAATAATGGAAATTATTTGGAATGAATTGATGGTTTTATGTTGAATAAATTTTTAGTTCAAAGTCCGGCAGTTTTCAATTCACCAACCCAATATATCTGAAGACTTTTAGCGAGGCTTCTCTATCTAATCACACTCGTTGCGATTATTTTATTCATCAAATTAATCCTAACCCTTTTTGCGAGAAGACCAATTGTTGGAACATGGAAACTTCTATTCGTTTTTCTTATTGTTGCCAAAAGCGACCCCACAGGTGAGAGAGTGCAAAACAGTAGTTTTATCTAGTGATGGGTTGAAATCAAACAAACTTATGCCAAAATACCAACCATAACATATCCAGAGTGCAAACTAATCAGCCGCTCATTTTTAGCAGCAGACTAGCACTAATACATTTTGACTAACATTGGTTTTCAGGCCATTCTGGGAGCTGTTTTCCTTGATCGAGCTTTCAGAGAGAATCGAGTCGATTTGGAAGAAACCGGTCATTTCTTCTTAATCGCTTCAATTTTGTCAATCGTTTTGTTGTCACCAGCCGGCATGATTAAAGTGAAAAGTCAAAAGACAGAAACTCGCTTACGAGAGAGCTCTACTTCATTTCAAGAATTTCAAAACAATGGAAACGATTTCAACACCGCATCTGCATAGAGAGTATTCTGATCTTGATCCTCGATTATGAAGTGAGTGAAGATGATTTTCGGCTTGGCTACGTGACAAGCGCCGAAAACCCGTATGAAAGGTTGACTTTGCCACAATTTCTCTGGAAGAATATTTAAAAAGTGTCCTAAATTCGATCCGACTTTAAATCGCACATACGATGATGAGGAAGAAGATTTTTAAACCAAGAACGAACACTTCAGAATGGGAAACATTCTCTGATGAGTTGGATTGGAGAAGTCAAAAGGGAAAATCGGGTGAGAGAGCGAAATGGAGAAAATGCCGATGATGGACCGGTTCACTTCAAAAATATACAGTGCCATTGAAATGGATGAACAAGAACAATCAACAAGTCGAATTGAAGACCACAGAAAATCGGAAGACTTTGTAGATCATAACTCGAAAAGTTTAACCGATTATCAATACGCCTATATCAATGTTGTTGAACTCGATTGAAAGAAAAATTGAAAAAAAGTTAAATTCGATGAAAATGCACAAGTAATACCTGAAGAGAACAAGTTTTTGTGCAAACACCAAAAAACTGTCAGCTTTAGAAAGGGTAAGGAAAATGAGGTTTGGAAAAAGTAAAGCAAGTGAAGATTCAACAGTCGAATTGAACCCAATGACAGTATCAAAAACAACATCAACTGACAGCAAAGACTTTGTCAACGATTGTACGTTCATCTGAATCAAGTGTGTCACGATTTGATCCAAATCGAGAATCACTACTTTAAAAGCAGTCATTATGCTAAAGTTGTGTCCACCGATACCTTGAGATCTCAAGAATTGGAATTGTCACCATTTGCGGAAACTGATGTAGTTCAGAAATCAATACTCAACAGAAACTTGATGAAGTTGATGAAGCGTTGCAGGTTTTTTGGGGGATTTCCCCTCAGCTGTTTCAAATGAGGTTTAGTGAATTCACAAAGAAAAGCAGATTCATAGAAGCAATTGCACTCTCTCTTCGATGAAGAGAGAGTGCAGTGTTTCTATGAATCTATCATTTCAAAATATTTACATTAAAATCTTGTACGCTTTGAAAATTTTCCTATGAACTTGTTGAACCTTTGTTTATGTATTGGTGATTATTTTGTGTGAAAAATTGAATCGACTTTTCTTTTTACTGTTTGTTAAAATTTTTTTGTTTATTCTGTACTTTATACTTCTATGAATCTATCATTTTAAAATATTTACATTAAAATCATTTTTCTATTGCTTTCTTCTGTACTTTATGCTCTGAAATATGGATTGTTAGCGCAATTTTTCGAAGGTCCTAGGGGCCAAAAATTGAATAAACCCCTAAAAAGCTATCACTTTTTTATCACCGATGAAGTAACTTCTTCGATATAACAATGATCCCAAGCCTCATAGAAAAGACTTTCTTTAAATAAATTCTTTATTCAAAAATCGAGTTTCTCTATTGTAACAGATACAGAATATTGTGCTGTATTTACCAGCAGTCGGCTAGGGAAACTTTTTGGGTTTTAAGCTTTCTTCAGACATTCGATTACTGAGAGAAGCGATTTGCTTTTGTTTGGAAGTTTTAAAAGGAATCATAGTGACATTGCAGCTGCTTAGGCAATAAAGAGAAAAAAAAACATTCGTTTTGACTTCTTTTTTCTTGAAATTGAAAGCCAAAGTTGATTTTGGCCCAAGGGACTAAACATTGAACGAACACAGAATTTCAATCCTTTTGGCAGAGATAAAACAACTGCTTCAACTCTAGGTTGCAGTTTTTCAAAGAAAGCTCAAATCAGCTCAAGATCTGATGAAGATTGAAAATTGAAGAGTTAAAGTAACTTGGCAGGAACTGATGAACTAAAATTACTCATGCCCAGAATAATTTAACGACTAATTAGTCCAACTCTTCCTCGAAACGTTCAGCGGATTCAAAAATGGCTTAAAGATGAGTACAATGAAAAACGCTTCTGTTTTTGTCTGTTTTCTTTTCTATGTACTCTTCCTAACGTCAAAGGTGCCTTTTTTGTTGTTTCAATTCAACTTTTTTCCTGGATTGACCCAGGCAACTTGCTTTACTATTCAAAATGAAACACTAAAACTGTCCGATGTATCTATTTGTTTATGTGTTCACCGATTTTTGTATAATCGCTGAAGCCATTTGCTATTCAGCCCAATTGGCGCTTTTCTCGAGTGGAGAATTCTGGGATGGGTGAGTGAACTGCTCATGTTTTGCTCGAGTACTTATTGATAGCTTAACTTTTTTCCTGGATTGACCCAAGCAGCTTGCTTTATTGCTTTATGCTTTATTCAAAATGAAACACTAAAATTGTCCGTATTTCAATTTTTATCAAATAACTAAACAAAAATCTGTAATAAATTTTTTTTTCAGTTTGATTACGGTGCTTTTGTTGCGGCGAGTATTGAGAATCAACCAAGGCAGAGTGGAAAACTTGAATTTGAGCTCGGTGGTCTTGAAAACGAAAAGCGCACTTGATTCAGCTGATTTAAAGGAAAAGTAATTATCAATTTTCTTTTAAACAATAAATTACAATTAAAAAACCCATTGCTACATTATTTTATGAAAAGTTTAGTCTCCAAAGATCACCAGAGAAAACTCGACTCAATTTTTAGCGAGTTGACCTTTTTACACTCAAAATAATGATTTCCCAGGTACACATAACGAATCGGGGGATGATTTTCGGAGAAATAAAGATAAGAAAGGCATTCAGTCAGGTACACGCAATGGGGAAGTAAGAAAGATGAAATTCTTCTATATTTATTGACTCGAAAAACAAAAATCTCCTAATTATTGGCAATTCGCAATGAATTCACTAGTTCCATCACTACTTTTTCTCTTCTTTGCACAGACTTTTCAATGCCCAATAGGAAGTGTACAGATTCCGAATGAGAACATTTGCCTTTACCCGATTGTTGACAGTGAGTTTTTGGGAAAATTCTCACTTTTTCATTTCGAATTTGATTATGAATAGTCAAGCAAATGAAAATTTCAATTCTGATAACATTTTGAGACCAATTTTATTTGAAATCACTAGTAATGGTTTACAAATTGACAAATGACAAATGACAAATTGACAAATTGACAAATTGACAAATGACAAATGACAAATGGTTACCCAGTTAGAATAGTGTACAACTTTTAAGCCATTTATCGGTAAAATACACTTGTTTTTAAAGTGAGACAAAGTCCGATTTTGCGAAATTAACTTCATTTTTCATGAAAATAGTAAGTGGAAAATTTGTTAGATGTTTTTGTTTCCAATTTTATTTTGAATCCATGCTTTCAAAAGGTGTTTGCTCAGTTAAAATGATGTAAAATTTTTAAGTCTCAAAATCTGCCTCTTTCCAGCAAAAGCCTACAACGATGCCAATCACCAAATGTGCCGTTTACGGAGGAATCCCGGCGAAAGTGCAAAATGTTTTTGAGAACGCTTTCGTTGGTGCAATGATGACAGACAGTTTGTTCAATGATTTAAACAATGAAAAAATTGGGCCTAGATTTGATTGGAAATCCGACTTACATCGGAGTGACACGAAATAGGAATAATACGTGGACTTATGCTGATGGAACGCCGCTTACATTTCAGAATTGGGCACCAAGTAAGTCTTTTCATAAAAACTAGTCGTAAAGTTGGAGAATTCAAGATTTTATTGAACATTCACTTGGAAAATTGATGAAACAGCTCATACAAGCTTTATCTTTCGTTCGATTTTGTTAGATTTAGAAAGTAGAACTTTTGTAGCATAAAACAATCCCTAAAAATGCTCATGTTTGCAAAAAATCATGAATTAGATAATCCTTATTTAGCTTTAAGTGGAAAATAAGCCAAGATTTGACCAAATATCATTTTCAGATGAGCCAAGCACTGCCGGTAACTGTACAACAATCGATTCAATGGGAAATGGGCAGCCAGCGATTGTGTCAAAGAACGAGCTTTCTTCTGCACTGTCGACCAAAATAGTTGGCATTCTTTTTTGAGAATAATTCATTTGATTCAGATTTTCCTTGCCCGAATGATTGGATTTATCAAAAAAGACTGGATATTGTTATTATTTTCAGGTAGAAATCAATCAAAATCCGTCAATCAAACAAACAAATCCCTTTTTCAGGACTTCACCTTCTATGACAGAATCCATTGGCAACTCTACAACTGGTCGATTTCTGAGATAAATTGTCAAAAAAATGAACTCACATCTCGTTTCGATCCACTCAGATGATGAGAATAATTTCATTTACGGTTAGTGAAGCTTTGATGAAGTGAAGCTTTGATTTTCAGACTCAAAAAGCGGATTTGTATCAATGCTTTGATTTGATTTGGAAATGCTTCAAGTTTCAAAGTTCAGTTCAAAGTGCTTCAAGTTTTTATCGTAGCTCAGAGAATTAAAAAATTAACATCCTGACAGTGATCATCTTAAACAGAAAAGGAACCAAAAGTTAAACTTACAAACGAAACTTTTCCAGACCAAAAGTTAAACTTACAAACGAAACTTTTCCAGACCAAAAGTTAAACTTACAAACGAAACTTTTCCAGACCAAAAGTTAAACTTACAAACGAAACTTTTCCAGACCAAAAGTTAAACTTACAAGCTTTTCTAGATCTAATCTCCTCAAATGTTGTCTACGATTATTACGCGGCTCCAAACAGTGAGCCATGTTACTTCCAATATGCTTGGATTGGTTATTTCGGAAATGGAACACTTGGAACCGGGCAATGGAGTGATGGATCGAAAGTCGATTATAATGGAGGAGCTGCGATCACGGAGAACTTTTATTGGGCGGTGGGGTTTTTGAAGAAGTTCAAATCAGCTAAATCAGTTGTTAGTTAAAATTTCAAAATATTATCTTCTCATTTGATAATGTCTTTATAAAGTTAATGAATTTTTTTTCCAGATGGCCAATGATGATTCGTGCGAGAGGAAGCTCTGGGACAATGGCCCAGATGAGCCGATCAGTTCACGATATGTATGCAAAATGGCACCAAATAAGAAATAACGAGCTTGAAAAAAGAAAATAAATATAAACATTGGCAAACAAAAGTGTTGAGTTGATATTTTTGACATGAAAGCGTTGGATTTGAACATTAAAATGCAGATTTCCATTGAAAAAGAAGCGACAACCGTTCTTACAACTTTCCTTTGAAAGTTTTTTCGTTAAATAGTTATTCATTATCATTTTCCATACATTTCTCTTTGGAAAACCAATAATCGATCATTGATTTTTTGATGAAAAACCAATATAAAAGCAACGAAAGAAGGAAAATGCTTTATAGGAAAGCTGAAGATGCTTCTTCTTGTGCTTCTCAGTTTGATACCCATTGCGGTTTACGGTCAAAGTAATAAATTGCATACTGTTAAAGTTTTCTGTTCTACTCCACTGGAGTTCTTCCAATTGTTGGATGAAAATAAAGACTTGAATGCACTAAATTGCACTAAATATAACTACGAAATTGCATTATTTAAAGTCAATTGAAACTTACTAAAATTGACATTTTCGAGATGAAAAAAGCACAAAGATCTACTATAAATGTACATCAAATTTTGATTTAAAAGAAGCAGAAAGTGTTCCCACCAACCCTTATTCAGAAGTTATTACCATTTTTCACACATTTTTCTTTTGTAGAACCAATATTGATCAGTGATTTTTAAACCAATAATCAATATAAACAGCTCTAAAAGGAATGATTTTTACCGGAAATCTGAAGACACTTTTCCACTGCTCACTTTGCTAATACCCATTGCTGTTTTTGACCCAAGATATGAATGATCTATTGGTATTTTCTATTGAGTTTAGTGACGGGCTGATGTGAGCATTGTATATCAAAATCCGAAAGAAAACAAATGACGAGTTTTGCTATCAAACTACTTTCTATATTCTTGCCTTCAACTATATTTCATACCAGTTATTGCGCGTTTAAAATTAAAATTGACCTATTAAGAAATGGAAATTTACGATCGATTGTAGACTCTTAAAATCTCTTAATGTTTTTCATTGTCAACTGCTGGGTCAAAGATTTCAACCGGCAATTCACGGGATTTCATCAGGACAGCATTAGCAGCCGCAGAGATTGCATGAGTAATGCCCATCCAGCGGGTGTTTTTTCATTCACAAATTCCTTTCACCAGTTGAGGCCTTATGAACTTTGCAATAAAGCCCAGCCGGGCATTTGATCTCACTTCCACATGGAATTTGTGAACGAAGGAAGCACCCGCTGGATGGGCATTACTCAAGCAATCTCTGCGGTTGTCACTGTCCTGATGAAATCCCGGTTGCCAGTTGAAATCTTTGACTTAACGGTTGACAATGAAACATTAAGAGTTTAGAATCTACAATCGATAATAATATGTAAACCTGAAAAGTTTCAGATTGCCTTGTTAATTTGAGTAAACAAACAATTTTTCTGAGTTAGAATAGCCATTTGCTGCTACCAAACACAGTGACAGGAGAACAAAGAAGAGTACACATTTCTTTCGAAGAGAAGAAATTGATTGTTTTGAATGAGAGAAGAGAGTTTGTGATTGATGTTTTTTGAACTTCAATTACAATTTTTATCGAATAAATATACAATCACCCGTTCTTAAATCACACATGACTTTAAGAAATAACATTCAAATTAGATCTCAGAAGTGACAGCTGTGGTTTTCGGGGAGAATTGTTGGGAGATGCCTGAAGAGCTTGAGTGAGAGATGGCCTCTTTACAGTGACAACAGTTCGCGGTTGGAGTGGAGGGAAAGGGAGATGCTTGAAGGGAAGTGGGACGATCCTGGAATAGTTGAGACTTATAATCTTTTAAATATACATTAAAGTATTTAACTTCATGCTAATCAATGGATTAGACAGGTGAAGGAGTTTTATAATACAGGATGTCTCAAAAGTTCCTATACTTTTTCCGTAAGTAGTTTTTGACTTGAAAAACACGTGAATTTTGGAAAACTAACGCCGGATTCTAAAATTACAGGTATATGCTCATTTTTATAAAAGATTTCAACTCTCAACAACTTTTTGACTAGGATTTTTTACATTCAGGTCTGGTCGCTGAAGATTTTTGCAAAAGTTGACTTAAACTTTACAAAATGAGATTTTCTCAAAAACTGTTGTTACCATTTGATAGAACTAAGTTTTTTTCTTAAAAACAATCCACAAACAAACTTTATATCTCAAAAACGAAAGATTTTCAAGCGATTCTACGGAGAGCACCCAAATCTCAAAAAACACAAAAAAACTCCGTGACGATTTCATCAAAAAGTTGTTTAAAGTTGCAACTTTTGAGCAAAAAAGGATAGTAATAGTAAAAATGCTTGGATTTTCATAATCCGGTGTTAGTTTTTTTAAAAGTGGCGTGTTTTCCAAGTCAAACTACCCGCTTACAAAAAGTCAAAGAACTTTTGAGAGCACATAGTGTTAGACTCACCCGCAGTGATGACAAAACAGTGGGTCTTCGAATGATCGGTTCACTTTCTAGCTTCAGTTTTTCCAATGGTGGAAGAGTTGAGGGAAGTGGTGGTAGAAGAGGAGAACTGTGAGAACCGAGAGATGTTGGAGTGGGCAGAGATGGGGCAAGGGACGGGATTGACACCTCGGTTTCTTTCTAAAAGTCAAGAGGTTTTAACTATCGATAAATTTAGCTGAAGGCCGGTTTTTACTTACTTCATATCTTGGAGTCGGTGACGAAGATTGTGGGGTGAAATTTCGATCCGTTGAGCTTCTTCGCGATGAAAATCCCCTCGGTGGCTCTAATGGAGACAAATTCTGCGGAGATCCATGAAATGATGGTGGATTTGAAGAGATTGCTGTAGAGCATCGTTCGAGAAATTCCTGAAAGCAGTTTTCTCGATTGAATCTCGATTTCTCGCTTTTCCCACCTCGAAATGTCTCTGAAATCCTTGATGAAACTCTTTCTGTATTCTTTGTAATTTCTCGATCACCGCTCCTCCTCTTCCCTCAATTTCCTCATTCGAACATTTTGCAACATCGCAAATTTCATCGAATTTGATGCGAACGTTCTCGAGAAGAACCTGGGATTTAGAAATAAATCTAATAGTAAAAACTTAGAATTCTTTTGGTTAAAAGATGTTCACCTCATCAAAGAGTCCATTTGTAATTGTGGTTGTCGTTTCTTTGATCGTTTGAATGCTCGAATTCGCCTTTTCCAACCATTTTCCTTTCATCTCATCCACCAATTTTGATCGTTCTCTGAAAATTTCGAAAGTTAATTGCACGAATTTGAAATAATTACCGTAATTTGAGCACTTCTTCGTAGTCGTGCCCTTTATGATAATAAAGTAGACAAGATGCGCAAAACGAGAAACGCCCAAAGCGCTCTTGTTGGTTCATCTAGAATCAAATTTTCAAGTAAATCAATAGAAATTTAAAAATTAGATTAGAATTTGCATTTAAAACGAATCCTTTAACCTCTTTTTGTAGACTTTCTGGATTGCTGTCATTTGGATCTTCTTCAAAACTTGACGCATTCAAGTTTCCGACATAAACCATCGATTCACGGTTGAGTTTCTGAAGAATATTATTTTAGTTTCAAACTCTATTTGAATTCAACTTACCGTACTCCCGTGTCTCAAACATGTCAAACACGTCCACATTTTTGTCTCTTCACATTTCTCCCGACACTCTCCACAACGAATTCCTCGATTTCGGACCTCGACAAGACGGCTGAGGGTTAGAATTGCATCTAAATTTGCAGAATTAGTTCTAATACTTATATTTTAGATTATATCTCATTTATTAACCACTTCCACTCACCTTTTAACCCTTAATTCACTGGCAATCCACCAGCTGGGATCTTTGTGAGCTTTCGACAAGCCGGACACGTAACGGTCTCGCTTTTCGCTGAAGAAAACAGTTAAATCTCGAATTTCTATGAAAATCTATGCAATTTTCTGAATTTAATCAGTATTTCTCGAAGATAGCTCACCAACAAGTCGCATCTGTTCCACGCAAGCCCAACACAAAGAATGACCACAAGAGAGTGTCAGAGCGTCATCATATGTATCCAAACAAATCGGGCAAATAAGATCAGATAAAGGTTCTCTAAATTTAAAAAAAATATATAACTTATTAGATTTTTTATTTAGCAACCTGAAATTTGAAGAGTTTTGTCCATTTTCGGTGCTATGCGATTCCAAGGTAGTCAATCTTCCGCCGCCGCCTCGACACGCCACTCGATTCGCGTTTGTCTAAAGAAAAAGATTACATTTTAAACTAGTTAACTTCAAATATTTAACTAACAATCTTTTTTTGCTTTTTCTGATGAACTTTATCAACTTACCAGCGCTTGATCGAGCTTCACTTTCCAGTATGCAAGCCTCTCTTGGTTGAAGATCACAAATGCACGTATCCCATCCATCTAAACCGATTCGAAAGAAATATTCGATGCACCAATCCGGGAGATCCTGTTGACAAGGAAGTCTAATATACAGAAGAATTACGAAAATCTCAAATTTTTCTCTTACTTAGTCCAACTAGCTGTACTCGGATCCAAATGCCAGAGGAAAACCCGACGTATCGTTTGCACTTCTGGCTCTTCTTGGCTCACAATCTGAAGATTTTTATGAAAATGCTATTTTCCTTACAAAACCTTTTCCAATAGCGCAAAATACCCCGGCTTCCGTTGTCAGGGCGTTGCACCATTGAGCTGAAAATTTTAGATTACCACAAATACAACTTGATAAAGTTTTAGGGTGCCACAAGTAATGGGCTAACAAGGGAAGATCATCTGAAACGGTCAGTTGACCGCAGAAAGAGCACTTACTTGAAGAAAAAAGCAAAGAATAACCCAAAGTGGGGCTCGAATTTGTGAACTCTCTGAAAACGAACGCTGTACCACTTTACCCTGGCTGCCCCGAATGGCGTTCACCATGAACCCAAGTAACCACATTTTCAGAGTCCTGAACGGAAACGTTAGACGTTTATAACTCACGTGGCGGGTTGTCATTTAGCAAAAACGGAAGATGTATTCGGAATCAGTTCTGCTAAGGAAGTTTTGCTTCGAATGGTATGGGTCGTATAGCATTTGGTCGGCTCAGCCAGTTGACTTTCCTTTGTAAAGTACTATTACTTACAAGGGGAGGTCAACTGACTGTTTTCAGCGAATACTGTACGTAAGATGCGACTAAGTCCAGACTAAATTTCCCCTCAAAAAATTTCTACCTTTTTCTTTGCCGGAGTGAGATCGTTCAATGATGGATTGATAGCCGATGCATCCCAGAGTGTTTCTGTGGATTCCAAACTCCGAGGAAGCCAAAATGTTCCGGGCTTCTAGTGGTGCAGAGAACAGTGAAGCTTCTAGAAACAAAGTGGTAATGCTGTTGTAAACTTTAGCAAATCATGTTTTGACTAGCTTACTCGATTTGTGATGAATGGCAAATTTCCCATTGTCCCATTGGGAGCATTCCCTGTTTCGTGGTGACTCTAATTGTTGTCGTGTCGAGAATGCAGCACACAAAGTGTAAAGGATTTTGGTTTTCATCTCCATCTATTGAGTGAGCTCCGGGAGAATCGTTCATAGAGGATCATCTGGAAAATTTAGTAGTACTAAACAGCTGTCCAACAAGGCCAAGTCTGTATTGTACAACTTTGTCAAGCCAATATAATGGTCTAGAGTCTAGATCTAAGTTTAGAACTACTTGGGTTTTGTTGTAAAGGAATGCTTAAGTCAATTTTGTAGCTATTTTATCCTTAAAGTTACCTGAATTTCATTCGAGCATTTCTGCACTGAATATGCCAATCGATCATGTGTAATCGCTGAAGTATTCAACATTGATGTCTGCCTTTTGATCAACAACTCCCCAGCGATCAGAAAATAGATCAAGCAAAAAACCTAAACGAAAATTATTTTAGATTTCAAATTGTATTCAACCTTTTATGCTTATTGTAGAACAACATCGACAAATAGACTTCATTTGAGTATTTAAAGTTGAATAGAGTGTAGCATAACCAGCGACGGGTGCTAGAAATCGTGATCTTCCCTGAAAAAGAGTTATCAAATAAATTTCGTCTCAAATTTCCATTTCCATTGACACAGACAATGTGATAAACATAAAAAATCATTTCTTATAACATATTTGCTTAGTAATTTGATTGCCTTATCTTGTTTACTGACCATTTCAGTACTTTCCTGATTCCATTTCTCAAATCGACTGAATAGACCACATCAAGGCTGAGGATCCTTGAAAATAGGCAGTTCGTCCATCCTCCTGGAATTAAAGGTTTATTTAATTTCACTTAGCTTTCTAAAGTTTTCTTGTACCAACCAGCAGAGGTGTGAAAGCATTTATTGATTGAAGAAACTCCAGGCATCGGGAGACGATCAAATTCTCCCGGATTCATCCGCTGACGATGAGGGACAAGAGGCAAGCTCTTCAGCTTTTGCAGGGTCTCTGAAATCATAATTTTTTGAATGACTAGTAGAATTACCAAACGAATTATTCAATTGCACAGTAAACGACTAAGTGGAAATCCAAAAACTAGAGAGAAAAAGAAATGAGCAACAATAAGATTGACAGTATTTAAGAGTTCTAAACATTTTTGCAGCAAATTTGTAGACTTAAAAATATTCTTTCCATTGAAATCATTGTACTAACTGAATAGAGCGTGACAAATTCGATTCCAAGATCGCTGTCTCACCCAAGAAACCAAAAAAAAGCTTCGATTTTGCAAAATATTTTCCCAAAAATGACTGAAAATGCTCTTTGATCTTAAAAAAACTAAATCAAACTTTGGCTGGTAAGCATTAACCAAAAAGTAAAATTTACTATCGCAAAAAAGCTGTTTGTTCTGGAAAAAGTAGGCCGGTTTCAGCAAAAGGGGGAATGAAAAGGTGTTCAGCCTGCGATTGCTGATAACAGGATCACGAGGAAAAGAAGAAATCTGAATTCTTGTCGTCTGAATACCAGAAAGTATTCAGCAATGAAATAAAAGTTATTGAAATAAAAAAAACAATTTTCAGGAGAAATTGTCGAGTCCAGGTTTCCCTTTGTTGTCTCCTTTTCAACTCACTTAAAACGACTAAACTTTCCACTCGTTGGCTCGCATAAAATTCTTTTTACTGCTCAAAAGTCAATGTCAAGAAGAGATTGAGCTCCTTTTTAAGTTCAAGAGGAAATTTGTTGTTATTTGTTATTATCAAGATGTTGTTATTTGTTGTTATCAAGATTTTTGGAAAACAGTGATGAATCAAATGTTTTTCAGCGATTTCGGACTTGTTTAGAGATTGGAAGTGTCAATTATTATTTCAATAGAGAGGTCAATCAGTAAAAGTTATCACTGATTTAATGATATCAAGAACAGATTTCAAAACCCGGATTGTTTGGCGAACGCGTTTTAAATTGGTTACATTACATAATTACAAATAAAAAAGCTTTCTAAAAGGGTAAAAATGCAAAAAAATTAAGTCTGAACCAGTTTTACAATAGGCCTGAAACAAAAGGATTGGATTTTTCATATGAATTTTCACCTTATGAATGTAGATTTTCACTAAAAAATGTAAGCTGAGAAGAAAAACCTTGAATTATACCTTTTTAATAGTAATTTCAATAAAGAATGACTAGATTCTTGAAAAATTAAATATTAATGAGTATAAAACGGATAATTCAATCTTTATGAATAGTAAGTGAAACCTTCATTTCTCCAAAAGTAACACTTTGCGACAGTTGTATAAGTTTTTTTTTTTGTGAGCAAAGGCTTTAGAGTGACAAAAGGATTGGACAGGGGAAAGTAAAGGGATTGGGGAATGTTGGGGGTAGATGCCAAATAACAGAAATGACTATAGAAAGGGTGGAAAAGATAAGGGGAAAATCGAAAAGGAATAGGGAAATGTGAAGGGGAAGAAAGGGAACGATCGATTCATCTATAAATCAGATCGGTCAGGAGAAGGGTTTTGGAAAAAAAGGGAGATGACCACTTCAGCGTGTACAAATGTTTAGGGAAAGCCAGTCGATCAAAACTCTTTACTATTAGTTCATTTTGATTCTAAAATTCAATGAATAAGAAGGTTCAATTATGGGAAATACACTCAAATATAGGAACGACTTTTGATTTTCCGCTAAAAATCGCTCTCAAAGTCGATGAATCATAAAAGTTAAGCAAAGAAAGTAAATAAAATAGCATAAGTGCAAGTAGTGTAAAACTTCAGTCAACAGGATACATTGAAATTAAAAAAATAAGTGGAAACAAAGTCGAAAAATTAATACAAAGCCCTGACTTCACCGTGAACATTGAAATTCAAAAAATAAATTGAAACAACCGGATTCAGCCAAAATTTCAGCAAATGACCAGAACAAAAACTAGCTTTAAAAAGCTCAAATAAAGAATCAAGTGATGATGAAAATCGATAGTGAAATCGTTTCAAGCAAGACCACTTCCCAGGCTACTCATCCCACCCCATTCCTTTCTATGTACAGTTTCTTTCCAATCTTGTCTCCCTCAAAGTATTCACCTCGTGACCCATCTTTTCCCCGTCTTCCCCCCCTTTCTCCCCTGTTTTGTCCTACAAAAACTCGCGGCTTTTATAAAAAATATGGAAAATTTCTGATTAGTCATTCTGGAATATGTTAAATGTTTTGCAAACAGGAAGAAACCACTGAAATCATTTGAATACCGGATGTTGGCCCCATAAGAAGTAAAACAGGAAAGGAAGTAAAACTTGAAAGCTTGTCTAAGTTCAGATAAAAACTGAAAGCAAATTGAAAATTTATTTAGCTTTTGTAAAGAAAGGTGTGAATGACTAAACGATAAGTCAAAATTTTGATCGAAAGCTGCTTACATTGAGGGCTATTTTCTTTGATTTTAAGTCATCAAAGGTGCTTGGCATCTTCGTAAATTAAAAAAAAAGAAATTAAAAGTTGCAGAAGCTCTAAATAGGATAAAATGAAATGAAGGCAAGGCACGCAAGGTTGGGAGAAAAGAGGAAGGCGGAGTTTGAAAAATCGGTGATAAGATTAGAAGTCGGCAAAATTAGAAACTGCGATTTTGAGAGCTTGTCATTATTTTCGAATGGCTCAAGTTCTTGTAGTTCTTGAAAAATTGTAATGAATCTCTCTTTTCACGACTTCAGATTGGGAATGGGCTTCTGGAAATTGGGGTATAATAATAAGGGTATTTTAGCACGTTTAACGGGTTGTCAAATTTTAAAAGCAAAAATGCAGTAGTTAAATTTAAGTAAAACTCCCATAAATTGATCTCAAAAATCTCGCATAATGACTTTTAAAGTAGTCAAAAATTGGCTCAATCCCTCACCGCTCCTTTCCCTTTACATAAGAAATTTTCTTTTGCTTTTGTAGATGATCTAAAAAGAAGATATTCAGCTGTAAATTTGTTAAACTATCAGCAAAAACAGTATCGCTGTGT